CGCTGTATTCGCTTCGGCATTTTGATCGGCAAGGCACCCCGGGAGAGGTCCGGGGAGCAGCGGCGTCGCTACCTTTTCTTGGTTTCCCCACAGACGGGGGTCAGCCAGGGCGCCAGATCTTGCAGGATCCTGCAAAGCCATGGTTGCATTGACTTGGGCTAGCGGGCAAGATCTTGCAGGATCCTGCAAGGCCTGACCGACCCGGGTCTGCACTGAACCCTGTCAGTAGATCCGCGATCTCCTGCGGGGCCCCTACGGTCGGGAACTTCCGGATAGCGTGTCGCCGCGGCGGCCTCGGTGGATCTCTGGGAGGTGCGCCTCGGCAGGAGACGGCGAAGGCGACGGCGACGACAGCTGTGTGTCTCTTCGGGCGGCGGTCGCAAGGCGAGCGGCCTCGAGGCGGCCTGCAGCCCCCGCCCATCCGGCGCCAGTCTCCCGCGGAGCGCGGGGCGAAGGCTGGGCCGCCCAGATGGGGTTGGGAATGAGGAGGAGGAGGAGGAGGAGGAGGAGGGAGGAGGAGGAGGAGGAGGAGGAGGAGGAGGAGGAGGAGGAGGAGGAGGAGGAGGAAGAAGGAACAATGAAGAATGCGAATACGATTAGTCATGACACTCAGAGTAAATACTAATATGAATGGGAAGAGTATGAGCAAGACGACAAAGCATATTAATAGCAATAATAATCATACTGATGATCAGAATAATAATAATAGGAGGAGGAGGAGGAGGAATAGGAGGAGGAGGGGAAGGCGTCGGGTTGCGCAGAGACAGCTCCTCAACAGGCCCCCCGAGTAGCCCATGGCGGTCTCAACACCCAATACCCCAATACCTGGGAGGGCTGTCTGCGCGCTGCCCGAAGCCTAGTCAGAGGAGGACCAGGAAGAGGAGAAGGAGTACCAGGAAGAGGAGGACCACTCATGGATCTAGCACTGCGACAATTACTGAATTCAGCGAGCCAGCTACGGATCGAGCGAGGTCGCATTACCTACCCTCACGCCGTCCCTGGGCGATGAGGCAACACGACCGGAACCTTACCACTGCTCCCCTCATCCTACACCACCCAACCACTGCATTTCAACCCGCACTACGCTGCTCCCGAATCGTCTTACACCTCTCCTGTGCCGCAGGGAATACACTCAACCAGTCTACGCCATTGCCTTGCCCATCATGCACGCCACAATATTCTTTCTCTTCACAGAAGCCCCTGGTCTGCACGACCGCCCTCCTCAAGTACTATGGAGTACCTGCTCGCTTGTGCCCCTTGGAATTCGTTCAGACTCCGTCCACCGTTATGGACACCCGCCCCAGCGGTTGCGAACACCATGTGGGAGTGGGGCGAGCGACCTCCCAGACACTCTGAATTGCATCCACCCTGGTGGCTCCATGCGGGAAGCGAGTCTTTGTTGGATGGAGCCTCACTGGGGCAGTTTCTCGGGCTCGTTCAGGGCGCTCACCCCAATTGTTGCGAACACCTTGCGGGAGGGGACATCGTCGTCGCCGCCGCCGTCCATGTTCCACCATCATCACCATCATCATCGCCATCATCATAATCACCATCATAATCATCAGCACCAGCACCATCACCAGCACAGGCATAATCATCAGCAGTATCCTGATCTGCATCAGCATCATCATGCCCACCACCATACTCATCATCACACTCATCATCACCATCATCATCATCATCATTGCCATCATCATCATCATCATCATCATCATCATCATCATCATCATCATCATCATCATCATCATCAGCATGATCATCATCATCATCATCATCATCATTGCCATCATCATCAGCATCATGATCATCAGCACCAGCGAGGCAAACTCATCAGCAGCATCATCATCTGCATCATCAGCATGCCCACCACCATGCTCATCATCCCACTCATCATCACCATCATCATCATCATCATCATCATCATTGCCATCATCATCATCAGCATCATGATCATCAGCACCAGCGCCATCATCAGCACAGGGAAACTCATCGGCAGCATCCTCATCTGCATCAGCATCATCATCATGCCCACCACCATACTCACCATCACCCTCATCATCATCATCATCATCATCATCATCATCACCATCACCATCATCATCATCAGCATCAGCATCAGCATCATCATCATCATCATCATCATCATCGTCATTGTCTTCCTCATCCTCATCATCATCATCATCATGGTCACCAGACTCAGAATCACCACCATGACCACCATCATCAGCATCACTGTCAGCACCGTCACCGTTGGCATCATCGTTATCATCGCCATCAGCAGCAAACTTAACAGCGTTGAGCCACGGGCGCTCCTCCCTCCTCCCTCCCTCATTCTCCTCCTCCTCCTCCTCCTCCTCCTCCTCCGCGTCTTCCTCCTCGTCTTCCTCCTCCTCCTCGTCTTCCTCCTCCTCCTCCTCGTCTTCCTCCTCGTCTTCCTCCTCCGTGATGATCACCACCACCTTCATCATCGCCATCATTGTCATCCTGACTCTCATCGTCCTTCTGCCCGTGCTCTTCGTTCTCGCCCTCCCCCGGGCGCCTTTCTACTCGCCGCTCTCCGGGCGCCTGCCCGCGCAGAGGTACCGCTCGCCTGTCTGCGCGGGGCCGCCGATAGCTACAGTGTGCTCTCGGCAGCAGGTCCTACCCCTGATCCGAGGCCGAATGCACAGGCTCCGATCCACAGCACGCTGCGCTTCACACCCGCGTGCACACCGTCTCTTCCGCTGTGCTGCCATCGACCGTTCCACCTTCTTGCCACCGGCCCGCCGAGCTGCATGCGTGTGCTCCGGATGGCGCTCCCAGAGGGCCTCGGCGCCACCTGCTTCATCCAGCTTCTCCTGACGCTCCCGCCGCTCCCGCCGCTCCTGCTCTGGCCCCTGTCCCTGCTCCTCTTGCGCCCGCGGCTGCTCCTTCCCCTCCTGCTCGTCCTCCCCCCTTCGGCAGGGCATTTTGCTCCCCCCCTTTGTCCCCACTCCCCGTGCTCCCCCCCCCCGCCTGGCTCCTCAAGTGGTGGGGTGGGGCGATGAGCGGCCGGGCGCCGCCGCCCTCCCTGAGAGCCCGCGCTGGGACAGCAGTGCGACGCCCGGATCTGAGGGCACCCCTTGCGGGCAAGATGCGTACCTGGATCCACGAACAGCAGTGCGACGCCCGGATCTGAGGGCACCCCTTGCGGGCAAGATGCGTACCTGGATCCACAGCGTCTTGGAGTTGCGGGCTCCCTTCCCCAGACCCCCGGGGCGCAGGGGATACGGAACAACTCTGGCCCGTAGTGGGCCAGGCCTTTACCCCTGCCCACACCCTGCCTGAGCTTTTTGGCGCCCCTTCCGCAGAACGACCCGGGCGCAGTGGATATATATATATATATATATATGTATATTTATATACATATATATGTATATATATGTATGTATGTATGTATGTATGTATGTATGTATGTATGTATGTATGTATGTATATATATATATATAGAGGTCTCAGCACGCACCATGACTCCCCCCTTTTCTCTTGGAATTTGCTAAGAGAAAAGAGGGGCGGAAGGCGCGCGCTGCAACTGTAAAGGAAGAAGTGTGGCAGAAAGGTTGGTTGTGTGATGGAGAAGAGTGTGGAGTATCGGGTGGAGTGTTGGGGACGGAGGGGGTGGAGTACCGGATGGTGTGTAGGAGACGGAGGGAGTGGAGTAGAAGGTTATTCTCAAGTTCAGCTTGGGGAGGGAGCCTGTTGAGTATCTGCTGGTGCGTTGGAGACGGAGGGTGTTGAGTAGAAAGTTATTTTCAAGTTCAGCTTGGGGAGGGGGCCTGTTGAGTATCGGGTGGAGTGTTGGGGACGGAGGGTGTGGAGTACCAGATGGTGTGTTGGAGAAGGAGGGAGTTGAGTAGAAGGTTATTTTTAAGTTCAGCTTTTCAAGTTCAGAAGGGGTGAACATCGCTCTGACCTTGAGCGCCAAAAGTCCGCCAAGAATGAGCCTCAAAAGGAAGTTTGAAAATCGTAGGGATCATACATGGTTTCATATAAAATCTGGAGAAAGGGGGGTTTGTGGTGCGTTCTCAGGGCTACATATATGTATATGGTATATATATATGTATATATATGTGTATAAATATATGTGGTATATATACATATGGCATACACACATATATATACACACCATATACATGTATATGGGTGCCGCTCTTGCCCGCACCCCTGCTCCCCACCCCGTGCTCCCTGCGCCCCCACCCCCGCCGTGGCGCCCCAAGGGGAGGGGGGGGGGAGGCGCGGGGGGCGGGGAGCGGCCGGGCGCCGCCGCCCTGCGCCCCCGCGGGCGGGCGGCCGCCATGGAGTGGCCCCAGGCGCGGGGCGCCTCGGCGTCCTTCTCGGGGGCCCGCCGCCACGGCGCCCTGCCGGGCGCGGACCGGGCGCCGGCCCGCTCCGCCGACGTGGGGCTCGAGGCGCCGACGCTGCAGGCGGGCGCGGGGCGGGCCCTTCCCCCCCCCGTCGTGCGCCGGGCACTGCCCGGGCACGAATGCCAGCGCGTGTGCGTGGGCCCCGCGAGGGCGGCGCGCTCGCTCCGAGGTCCTGCTGCCCGTGGCCCCTCCCGCTTCCACGCGTGCTCTCTCTTCCCCGTCTTACTTGATCTGGGGCTGCACGGGAGGTGTGTTGCAGGTGGGGAGGATACACCCCTGATGGGGTACGATCGGAGACGAAGGGGGCGGGCATCGCGGGTTGGGGACAGACCTGTTGACTGGCATGCGAACAGATACGAGCGAACAGTCTTAACATGTGTGTTTTTTGTTGCTGTTGTTGTTGTTGTTGTTGTTGTTGAACATTATTAATTCTAAAGAATAATTATTGTTGGGACCCCTGGTGCACGGCCCCCCTGCGCCGCCTAGGCCGCAGCTACATTTTCATCATTTTCGTGAGGAAGCCTCAGGTAATTCGATGTGATCAAGATCCGGTTGTTTTGTTTCCCCCCGCTTTCCCTTGCAAAAAACACTATAAAATGACATTTCTTGTTCTAATATAATCAAATTTCAAGAATCCCTTGCAAAAAATAAGGTAAAGTGAACATTCGCGCGCGCAAGACGAAATCCTTCCAAAAGCTTAGTGTTCGCAGCGATTTTAACATAAAAACATCAAAAAACCAATGGTTTTTCAACAAAAAAATGTCAAATCTCATCCCGCGCGCTCTTGCGGATTCGTAGGAAACCCAACACTTTTTAAACATTTCTGTCAAACGGGCTTTTGCGAGCAACTTTTTTCGAACTTCTGCAACAACGGTTGCGCACCTGCCAGGGCCATCATCCCTGTCAAATAATACCATGCGGGACACATTCGTTTTTTCTTCGCGCGCGCACGCCGAAATCTCCAAAAACCATTGGGCTTTTTAAGAATTTTAGCACCGCGCATCATAAAAACACACGAATCGCACCGTAGGTCTTCGAAAAACACCTGCACGACTTTTCAAAATTTCTACCCGCGCGCGCTGTCCTAACAACTTCTGTGGGTGTGTACTCCACGCCAGTGTAGTAGCCACGGTCGTCCGCAGGCCACGAAGTGAAGTGTCCGAACGTCATAGGGCGGGAAGCTTGGTGTGGGTGGTGGCGAAGAGTCGTGTGGATATTTGGTAGAGCTTGCACTGCCCCCCCACAAAGTGGGGGTATTGGCTGGCGTCGCATGAAAACCCTGGCACTGGTGAGAACACTGAGCGTTCGGGTAAAGTGATTGTTGTTGTTGTTGTTGTTGTTGAACGCTCATTCCTGAACAACAATTATTGCTGAAAACGGTTCCGCGCGCTCCCGCCTCGACGCCAGCTACATTTCTTTGACAACGAGGCTCCCGCTCGAGCGTTGGCGTGAGCCTCAATGTGGGCCCTTGGAGGCCCAGCTGCGACAACAACGGCTCCCGCTCGATACTTCCTCACAATTCACCCCGAGACACCTTGGCCAGAGAGGCCCCCGAACTTGGGAACGGCGCTGTCGCTCGAGACTTCATCGAAATTCAATCAACTTGGCGGAGGCCCAGCCACGACGACAAGGGCTCCTGCTCGATACTTCCTCGCGACTTACTCCGAGAGCTCCTGGCCAAGAAGGCTCCCGAATTCAGGAATGGCGCTCTCGCTCGAGACTGTCTCGTAATTCAGGCAAGTTGGTGGAGGCCCACCCGGACACGGCGACAAGGGCTCCCGTTCGATATTTCTCCGTAGGTATTCCGGGAGCATCTGGCCAGAGAGGCCCCCGAACTCAGGAACGGCGCTCTCGCTCGAGACTTCTTCGCACTTCAGTCAGTGGCCGACAAGGAAGATATTCCCCCCGAAAGGGGGTGCAATCGAAGACGAAGTGGGCGGGTATCGAGGGTGGGGGTATACGGAATGCAAGACACGCGTGCCAGTAAGAGCGAACAGTCTTAGACTGATTGTTGTTGTTGTTGTTGTAGTTGTTATTGTTGTTGTTGTTGTTTTTATCGATGTCGTTGTCGTTATCGTTGTTGTTGTTGGTGTTGAATTCTCATGGCTGAAGAATAATTAGTGCTGATCCCCCTCCGGTGGCCATTGCATTTTTACATTGAAGTGCTTCCTCCGGTGCTCGTGTTTAGGGACAGTCACGGGGCTCAAACTATGTTGTTGGCCCTTGGATTACAACAACAACGGCTCACGCCTGACACTTCCTCACAATTTAGCTAGGACTCCCGCTCCCGCCTGAGACTTCCTCGCATTTTACAAAATGAATCGCTCTCTCGGCGCTCTGGAGTCGCGCTCTCGCTGGAGACTTGCTTGCAGTTTACTGAAGGATTGCGCTCTTGCGTTGGAATTCCTTGCAATTTACTCAAGCGCCGCGCTCCCGACATTCAGGCACCCAGGAGTCGCGCTCACGCTTAGGACTCCCGCGGAGCAGATTGAGACATCGGGATCTCGCTGCCCTTCGTGGCCCCGTTGCAGCCCTTCGTGGCCCCGTTGCTGCCCGTCGTGGCCCCGTTGCACCCCTTCGTGGCCCCGTTGCTGCCCTTTGTGGCCCCGTTGCAGCCCTTCGTGGCTCCCTCGCTGCCCTTCGTGACCCCTATGCAGCCCTTCGTGCCCCCATCGCTGCCCTTCGGGACCCCGTCGCAACCCTTCGTGGCCTCCTCGCTGCCCTTCGTGGCCCCGTTGTAGCCCTTCGTGGCCCCCTCGCTGCCCTTCGTGGCCCCGTTGTAGCCCTTCGTGGCCTCCTCGCTGCCCTTCGTGGCCCCGTTGCAGAACTTCGTGGCCCCCTCGCTGCCCTTCCCCCGTTGCAGCCCTTCGTGGCCCCCTCGCTGTCCTTCGGGGCCCCGTCGCAACCCTTCGTGGCCCCCTCGTTTCCCTTCGTGGCCTCTATGCGAACCCTTCGTGGCCCCCTCGCTGTCCTTCGGGGCCCCTTTGCAGCCCTTCTTGGCCCCCTCGCTGCCCGTCGTGGCCCCGTTGCACCCCTTCGTGGCCCCGTTGCTGCCCTTCGTGGCCCCTTCGTGGCCCCCGCTTGTTCGCGCCCGTCGTGGCCCCATACGCATGCCCTTCGTGGCCCCGCTGTCGCCCTACGTGGCCCCCTCGCTGCCCTTCGTGGCCCCGTTGCTGCCCCTCGTGGCCCCGTCCTTGCCCTCTGCGGCCCAATATACGTATACCCTTCGTGGCCCCCGCTCATTCGCGCCCGTCGTGGCGCCATATGCATGCCCTTCGTGGCCCCGCTGTCGCCCTTTGCGGCCTCCTCGCTGCACTACGTGGCCCCGTTGTTACCCTCAGAAGCCCCGTCGTTGACCTCAGTGGCCCCGCATTATCTGCCCTTCGTGGCCCCCGTTCGTTCGCGCCCTTCGTGGCCCCATACGCATGCCCTTCGCGGCCCCGCTGTGGCCCTTCGTGGCCCCCTTCCTGCCGTTCGTGGCCCCGCTGTCGCTCTCGTTCTCGCTCTCGCTCTTGCTTTCGCTGGTCGCCGTCGTCGTCGTCGCCTCCGCCGCCGCCGCCGCCGCCGCCGCCGTCGTCGTCGTCGTCGTCGTCGTCGTCGTCGTCGTCGTCGTCGTCGTCGTCGTCGTGGTGGTGGTCGTCGTCGTCGTCGTAGTCGTGGTCGGTCCCCTGTCCGTCCCTCTTGGGGTCGGGTTGCCGCCGATCAGCGCTGCCGCTGGCCAGGCCGACGGTCCGCGGCCGCCCCGCCGCTTGCCGGGGCCCGGCCTGCAGGGAAGAACGATTTACCCACCAAAAGGTGTACGATCGAAGACGAGGAGGGCGGGTATCGATGGCTTGGGAAATACACGTTGACGGACACTCGATCAGATAAGAGCGAACATACTTAAGATTATTGCTACTGTTGTCGTTGTCGTTGTCTTCGTCGTTGTCGTTGTCGTTGTCGTTGTCGTTGTCGTTGTCGTTGTCGTTGTCGTCGTTGTTGTCGTTGTTGTTGTTGTTGTTGTTGTTGTTGTTGGTGTTGGTGTTATTGTTGTTGTTGTTGTGGTTGTGGTTGTGGTTGTGGTTGCGGTTGTTGAATGTTAGTTGCGAAACAGTGATTATTGTTGGACCCCTTATAGGCGCCCTGGCGCTCTCGCCGAGGCGCCTGCTACATTTTCATTGAAAATGAGGCGCACGCTCGAGCGGTTCGGTGGACCGCCCAAACCGGCTCCCCAACAACAACAATGCTCCCGCTCGAGACTTCCTCGTTTTTTACTCATTGCTGGTGTTTTTGCTCGCCGCCGAAAGCCGCCGCCCTAACAAAACCAGCGCTCCCGCTCGAGACTTCCTCCCGTTTTACCCTGGACTGGCGCGCTAGTCTTTCTCTCATCGGCACCGCCCCCAGCAAGAACAACGCCCCCGCTCGAGGCTTCCTCCCTTTTTTACTCAAGGCGGTGCTCCTCCTCGCCGCCGAAAACCGCCGCCCCGACAAAACCACGGCTCCCGCTCGATGCTTCCTCCCTTCTCATTCAAGGCGGTGTTCCTCTCGCCGCCGAAAGCCGCCGTCCCAACAAAACCAGCGTTTTCGCTCGAGACTTCGTTTTTTTGTTTACGCAGGACTAGCGCCCTACTCTCTTCAGCATTGGCGCCGCACCCAGCAAGAACAACGCTTACGCTCGAGATTTCCTTTCTGTTTTCCTCGGGGCGGTGCTGTTCCTCGCCGCCGACAGCCCCCGTCCCGACAAAACCATGGCTCCCGCTCGATGCTTCCTCCCTTCTTACTCAAGGCGGTGTTCCTCCTCGCCGCCGAAAGCCGCCGTCCCAACAAAACCAGCGTTCCCGCTCGAGACTTCGTTTTGTTTTACGCAGGACTAGCGCCCTACTCTCTTCAGCATTGGCGCCGCTCCCAGCAACAACAGCAGCCCTGCTCGAGACTTCCTCCCTTTCTGTTCGGGGCCAGGTCCTTGCCTCACCGCCGACAGCCCCCATCCCCACCAAGGCAATCCTGTCGTTCGATACTTCCTTGTGCTTTACCCTTCGATGGGGTTCCATTGGCTGTCTCGCATCGGCGCAGCACGGCGC